AGCTCAATAGCTATCAACATTATCGAGTTACTCCACAAACAACTGAATCCATTCTTTTTTAAAATGGATAATCGTTTTTCATTACGGAATTTCCTTTGTTATGGAATTTCAATTTCTTCTTTCGAAATCACAATTTGGATGAAAATGAAAGCAAAAAGGTCAACAGGGTACAAATATTTGTCACCAGCATCGGATTCTACATTAAATGGTGTATTTTTCATCAGAATCTAACGAAAACAATTTTTCAACCCGAGAAAAATAATAGTTGAAGTTATGTTTAATTAAATTCCTCATTTTGTTCAGAATTTGATGCTAATTTTAAATATGTAAATTCTTCTGGATAAAAAAAACAGTTCAAAATGGTTAATAGTCTAAAAATATCACAAAATTCGGATGCGAATAAAATTCTGTAATGAAGCGTTTCTAGAAAACATATGGAGATATTAAATCAAGCTATGCTCAAAATGGGTGTGTTTGATAGAGTTTGTTAAGTTCTATCTGGAGATACCGTTTTAGTTGCGAAAATTAGAAACATAAAAGAGTAAAATACATTATAAGTGAGTTTCATTACGGAATTTCTTCAAAAATAGAGATGGTTTGAACGAAGGTTACAAGGTGAAAGAGTGTCTCGTATCCGATCGATTAATATTTAATTGAAATTTTTTTTTCTGTTAATCGATTCTTGTTTGACGATGTATTCCTCTATTATATTTTACACAAATGTTCGAGTTGTTCACTCTAAGAAAAATTTCGCATGGCTAGAACGCTCAATGCAATAGTAGACTCAGCTTTTTTCACTTCTAAATTCGAACTCTTCCTATGTATGGGTGATCAATAGCTGGCCATGCCATAGAATAAAATAATCTTTCTGTAATTATCAACAGTAGTTACATCGTGTTTCATATTTTAAACCCGAAGGAATTATGCTAATAGCTTATTTTTCTATTTTTACTTCGTATCTTTTTTTATCAGCATCATATAATTTAAATCTAATGATATCATTTGTATAATATTGAATTTCAAGTATAACATTTTCCATAGGTTCTGGAAACATGTTATCTATTGCTTGATTTCTTTTTAATTGTAATTTAAAAGTATTATTTGTTTGTTCTGTAGAATTTTGTAAGATATATCCATAATTAGGTGATAAATAACATTGAATTACAGATGAATCAGCTTCATCATCATATAAACAATTTCGTGCTAAACATGATTCTTTTGAATAATTCGAATATGGAGATTCGATTTCCGGATAACAATTAATACGTGGATTTATGAATGATGTTTGATTTTGTTTCAATTCTGCTTTTTCAGAAGTAATAACGGCTATGTTTATTACAAGAAAAATTATAGAACAACTTCTTATAATAGTTGGAATTGAACCCATTTGTGCGAAACCAATGTAGAAACTATACGAAAAAAGAATATAAAATAAAATGATTATATTCATATTTTTATAAAACAAGGAAAATATTATTATTATTATAAATCTAACGAGGGAATCTCGCCAAATGTTAATCACGGATTCGAAGGAAAGATATACCAATTGATAGGGCTCGACAAGCTGGTCACAGTGGTAACAGATGTTCTCCGCCCTCCCTTCCCCTAGAACTTTCTTATGGAATTTTCAGGTAATATATAGGATATCCAGAAAATCACTAGAAATAGAAAAATTGGAATATCTCAACGATGTTTGAACCAAATGAGTTGATTTTTTACCGCTGATAGGGGAGTATTATTTGTCCATATTCATAAGAATAATGCAGACAAAAACTGTTTCGAAGTATCACTTTCAAAATCAATAAAACGAAATTGTTCTCTTACGGCTTTCGAAAAATACTATTTATGTGTATAACAACTTTAAGCTGTAAGACGTCTTATTTTAATTGACACGAATTGAACTGAGAATATGCTGAACTTATTCAAATCTGCTCTTCATGATGACTTTTAAAAAGCACATTGTAAATACGATTCTTTCAGAAATTCGCCTAGGACGATGTTTCTTCATCGAAGTCAATAGTGATGTTTTTAAATAGTTTTTATCTACGTTATTCTTATGAATATGGACTAGGAACATTCCTCTACCAGTAGTAAAAAAAAATCAACTCATTTAGTCTAAACACTGTTGAAATATTCCAATTTTTCTATCTGTAGTGACTTGCCAGATACCCTATATATATATGTATGTCATCTGTATGATAGATAAAAGAAAGAAAGAAATATTCAACCTAAGTGAATCACACTATAACAATCATGTTAGTTTTACACATCGTTCACTTTCTTTCCAATGAACATTGTAAGACGACAGATCAAGAGAGAGACAGAGAAAGAACGATAATATCGAATTGATTGTGCGTATTTTTTCTCTCTCCGTATGCAATTATACAGTGCGAAAAATACATTTAACGATCGAACAGTTCATGAAAAGAAAGATTTGCACTTATCACTAATACTACAATTTAGAACACATGAAAAACAAATAGCCGATGTAGAATAAAATAGGCAATTTAAAATGCACATCGCGAGAAGAATGGATGTAGTATCTACATACGAATCTGTACATTTGACACCTATATGTTATGCTTCATTGGGGAGTAATATGACCTGAAAATTCTATAAGAAAGCCCTATGGGAAAAAAATGTCTATTACTATTGTGACTGGCTCATCGATCTCTATCGACTGGTATACCTTTCCTTCAAATCCACGATTAATACTTGGTGATGTTTCCTCGTAAATGTAGAGAGAAACATCGAAAATATTTATTAATGGAAATGATAACAAATGAATTTGCTCTTGAAATATGCAATATAAAACATGAATATAAGATATTTGTTTCTCTTTTAGGTTTATAGGATGTGCATTTTCTAATAGATCAGTTTCAGAGAAAAGAGAAATTGATTCTATTCGACTTTAATAATCATTTAAAAGAATTACTCTTATATAATTTTCAAATATTGATACAATCAATACTATCTTTTAGGAATGAAATCATTCACAAAAGTTTAATTCATACTTTAAAATAGTATTAAAATAATTCATGTCATTTTACCATTTACTTTTCATATAATGATTGTCACTAAAATGAATACTAATCAATAAAAAATAGAGATTCATTTTGGATTCGAATACTCGTATTTTAATAATTTTGATGAACAAAACAATAATAGTTTATAGGAAGACATAATCTTTAGAAACAAGCAAAGCAGAAATCATTGATGAATATATACCTGAATGTATTGTATGAATGTCTTTGACTTGTTTATGAGTTATCGAGTATAAAAGACAAAATGAGTTTGTTTTGTCTACTTGTGAAGACAAATTGAAAAATGAAATCGAAATATATTCGGTGAGACTCCGACATATCATTGTATGATAAGAAAGTGCACATTCTATTTTCTCTTAAGCGTGAAGTAAAGTCGATAAGACATTATTCGATATGGTAAAACAATCATAACAAATATTTTATTAATATAAGTTTTATATTTATTTTTTTTTATCTCCCTCGAGTTTAATTTCAAAGATACACTGAGTACGAAAATTTTTCGAAATGTAATTCTTTTGTAGTTTTTATTTTTATTTAATACAAGAGGTTAATACTATTAACATAATGCATACAGCTAATACTACTTTTAGCATAATGTGATTTTTACAGAATAACAAAGAAAAAATATAAAATAAAAAAAAAAAACACAAATAATCCAAAATCAACTTGTCATTTTTTTGTTTCTTAACTCTTGAGAAAAAACAATCGGTACTTTTCATTGAAAAATGTAATAAACAAAATACAGGAAAATGAATATAGATATTGAACAACTAGATGCATTCTAGTGCAAGAGTTTTACATGAAGTTTCATCAATTTTAACAAAAGTTTTTTCTTTAAAAGAGAACATATATACTTCTCCTTTTGATATATCTGTCCAAAGTGCATGTACTTCTAATTCATTACGATTAAGTCGTTCTTTTAAAAATGGATATGAAAGAAAATTTTTCAATTGTTCTAATGTATTTATCTAAAATAAATCAAAATTTATTTTCTTCTTTTTTAAATTAAAAAGAATTTAATTTTACTTGAGAAAATTTATCAGAAGGTATAAATTGATTATGTGGATCAATATATGCTTCAAAATCATCTTCATAATGTTGTGCACCAGCAAATTTAAGTTTTCGATCAAAACCAGTAGACGTTTCAAGTTTTTTAAATTGTTCAACTGTTCCTCGTCCATGAACTCTAAGCCAATCTTCAAGTGGACCTTTTGATGGTAAATGTAGATCATTACGTATTGAATAAAGTAAATTCATTGCTTTACAATCAGAATGACCAATAACAACAATAACATGAACTTTATTTATTGAACAAGCTAATTCAAGAGCTCCACATTCACCTCCAACAGTCACATGATTTCGAAAACAATTATGATGAGGAACTAAATTACCTTAAAAAAATTAAAAAAATATCTACTATAAAATAAATCAATTAGAATAAAAAAATATTTAATACCAGGATTTCGAACTATAAATAATTGACCAGGTACAGCTTGAGTTATACGAGATGCAACAACACGACTATCAACACAAGTTAATAGAAGACCTTCAGGCTAAATATTAAAATTTGTTTTTATTTTTTAATAAAAATTAAATCAAAAAAAAAAAAAAAAAGGGAAATTTCTTACAGAAGGTCCTGTTGCTACTTTTTTAAATTCCTCTAAGAGCGATGGTCTTAATGTTCGACGGTATTTCATTATTCCATCAAGAATATGACTCATTCCTTTACGTGCTGCCATTTTTACTTTGTTCTTTTTTTTTGAATTAAATCTGAAAGAAAAAAAAATTCTAATATTTATTTGATGCTTGATGAGAAATGAAAATACAAATATAAAAGCAAATATGAAATGTAAATTGTACTGTTCGAAACCATAAACAACTCCTAAGATTGTTGCTAATGATCAAATTTGTGTTGAACATGAATCTCAACAAAATGAACTATTTACTAATTTTAATTCATGGTAAATTATTCCATTCATTTTTAAATAATGCTTCACGATATTTTGATAATTGTTCTTTAATATGTTCTTATGTTTCTTCACATTTTTCTTTTAATAACCAAATTAATTTTGCTCGTAAATTATCATCTATTATCCAAATTCATTTAGGATGATTATCATAATTATAATCATGAGTACATTTTAAATCGAATGATTCATTTTTATTATTATATTAATCAATGTATTGTTAGTTGGATGAATCAAAAATTTTTATAACTAATGTATCGAGTAACAAAGATTCAACTTGCGATATAGCTGATCAAATATGATCCTTTTTGAACATTTCAAGAGCATGTAAAACAGATTTCATTGAAACGTATGACAACAGCTGCACTAATAATATTTAGTATCAATTGATAATATGTTCATATCAATGTTGAATTCATTTTATCGTTTCAAATATTTTGTCTATTAATATATTGACATTGACTAGTAATTTCATCAATTTAAAATTGCTTGTTTTTTTTTTTAAATATTCACCGTATACAAGAATATTAATAATAAGTCTATTAACAAATGCATTATCAAGTGCTGCATCAATTGTAAATAAGACATTTAAAATATAAAAATTTCGATTTATTTCTCGAGCATAACCTATTAAATACTGTACAATAAAAAAAAAATTAATTTTTTTAATTGTTTTTTCTAAAAAACTTACATGAACAATAAGTAATGATATTAAATGACAATAATCTAATCTTGCTCCATGAAATTCTACACCTATTAATCTTGTATATTCTTTCATATATACTCAAAAATATGATGAATTTGATTGATAACAACCAAAATTTAATATAACGAGATTAAAACATTGTAAAAAACTAATATTTACATTGATTTATGCAATTTTGCAATATTATAAAAAATATTTCATTCAATTTGAGATTATTTTAATTGATTTAAATATATAAAACAACTAGTTCGAATGGTTTTCGATCAGCATAATAAAATGTTTTACAAACTTTTTGAAATCAATTCGAACTCCATAACGAGTATATATTTCCTCATCAATAAGAAATGGATTTTTTTCTGTCACGATTACGTATTGATATTGATAAAATTTCATTTTGAATTAGCATATTCGATCCGATAGGACCCACCGGTGGATCACATTATATTTTAACAAAAACCTTAGTAGAAAAACACTGTCTTTTTCTTTTTTCTTAGACAGGAGATTAAACGTAATCTGTCATCTGCTGTGCCTTCGCTGTTGTTGAAATCATTTATTGCGTAGCATGATACTTCTCGTTAGAATTCGACATCCAAATTTGATTCTATTTTTTTCCAGACAACTTGACGATTCAAATCCCATGTGAAAAAACTCATTGTCCACATCATTCATTCCACTCAGTGATCGCTGCTTCTACATCAATTTCACCGATCAGCATATAACTCGTAGTAAAATTCATCTGAAAAGCAGCTCAAATATACATATCTCAATGTCATAAAAGGAGTTTATTTAGTTCAAAACGCATCAATGGCGCGCATGTTTCGAATCGGAGTCATATGATCCGAATGAATTACATAATAGATTGCAATAAAATTAGAATATGATAGAGAGCATCGTAGGAATAGTCGAATAGCTACCACTTTCTCTCTTCTTCTTTTTCTTTGTTTTCGAAGAAAAACAGTTGTGTGTAAACACACGAGAGAATAGAGTCAAAGAAACGACGAAGAAAAGAAGATAAGAGAAAAAGAAGTCGAAATTTCACCTCTTCTATCTCATTCTAACTGCGCCATACGTGAGAGAAAGAGAACAACAAAGTTGAGAAATCATACAGTTCGTCGAGATAACGTACTTGTCTATGTACTGTAACAAATAGAAGGAAGAAAACGATGGACTAGCACAGAATGAAAAAACCAACGAGTGCATTTGTCTAAAGACGAATGCACATAAAAATGAATCTGTTATAGCTACTCTCTGATATAATTGAATCGGATCGAATGTATTAATTTTAGATTTCTAATGCCTATTTATACATTTCACCGTTTCATTTAGACTTTTATTGATCTATATCTAAGCAAATTCTTTTTTTTTTGTCTTTGGTTATTTTTGATTTGTTACTGTTTTTCCATTTTTCTATATGTACTGCTAGAGCCTGACTACCAGCAGTGATTATACAGAAAAAAACACTTGTTATTCGTGAGCGATTTTATCAACATTTTTAAAAAAATATAATTATGCGTTTTATCTTTGTCAAATAAAGGATTTAATTGATGATAATATGTTATGGAATTTGATGAATTTCATATTTTATATAATTGCTGCAAGCTATGAAAAAACTGTCGAATAATAGATCCTACAAAAGAGTTTATTATTTTTTTTTTCATAAACATTTGAAGGTTTTATTTTCTTTATCGATGTACAAGGATTTAGGAAAATTTGATATAAGGTTTCTAAGGCTAATAAACCTTTTTATACGCTTTATTATTTGATGCTTTTTTTATAGTATATTCGTGAAATTCTAATTAGTATGATAAACAATAGTTAAACATATGATTTCATCAAAATCATCAGTAGATAAATTTGAAAGATGTGGCTGAACAATAAAAATAGCTTTTACCATTTTTATCTTTTGCTTCAAAAATAATAATGAACAGGGCCAAAATGATGTTCGGTTTTTTTTTGATGATTATGTTGATTAATGATAAATACCAAGTTTTAAATTTATTGAATAATAATTATACAAAAGTTGCACATCATAAGAAATTAATGATAATAATAATATAAAACGAAGATATAAATCAACCAGAATATAATATATTCTAGATGAAGTTAAAGATAGATTTGTATTGAGAATAAGCGAATGCAAACATACCGATACGTATGATGGTCGTTCACGAGTCATAATTCTACCAAAAAAATAGCGCAGAAACAAGTGAAAAATCAGTTTAAAAGATAAAATCAATTAATTATCTTTTGTGCCAAATATGATTGGATCATTTTGTATAACAAATCAAAAACGTATTTAATAAATGAATGAAAATTAATTTAGAACATACAATATTAAATTATCAAGTTAAACTAGTTATGCATCAGCAAAAATAAAATAATACAAATAAATCTTGTCCATATAAAATTGAAGCGACATCTAATGAAAAAAAAACATTCCTATGTTTATTTTTCATGTTAATATCTTGACAACCGATTATGAAATGGTTTCATTGAAATTTTTATACTCAAAAACATTCTTCACAAAATTTTCTTAATAGTAATATATTAGATAATTGAATTGCAAAATACTCTAAATTAGAATAATTTGAAAAACAATAAGTACGCCATTCGATTAGATGGCCGCTTTTTTGGAATTACGTCGTAATGCTGATCAAATTCTTGTTGAACTCGAACATTTAGCAAAGTACTAGTTATTTATTTATTATTTTATTTGAATATTTATTCTATAAAATTTCTAGAGAAGCTGAATATGTTCGAGAATATGAAAATAGAGCTAGTGTAATTGTTCAATCAGCGTGGCGAGGTTATGTTGCTCGATCTCATATTAAGTTAGTTATGAAAATTTTTATTTTTATTTTAAACATTAAATTTATATTTACAGATATTTAAATCGATGTGCGACTCTTATTCAAACACGGTGGCGAATATATAAAGCTCAACAATTATTTCGACAAAAACTTAAAGTAAAATAATAAAAATTTTGTTAAATTTTCTATTAATTTAATTATTTAGGAACATGTTCTTCAACTTCGATTAAAATATTATGATGATAATGCAGTAAAAGTAAGATTATTTTTTTTTGTTTTATTAAAGAAAACTTTTTTTTTCCTTATTCATTTAGATTCAAAAAATATGGCGTGGATTTTATGTACGTAAATATGTACTTGATTTTTACAGTCGAAAACGGTATCTTACTGGACTTGAACAAAAGAATGAACAAATTAGGTAGTAGAAACTATTTTCTTTTTTTCAGATACCTTATAAAAAGATTTTTCTTTTTTTTTAAAATTAGAACCCAATTACGTGAATATCGAGAATATTTAGACCAAAAACAACTTGAACAACAACGACAAGCAAATATTGCAAAATTAGAAGAAGAAGCTAAAAGAACACATTATTTAGTTAGTACTAAAGTTGTACCTGGCATATATAATTCAAAATATTTAGAGTAAAATATATTTATTTTTATTTTAATCTATTATGATTATGAAAGAAATTATTTAACATAGAGCTCCAAAAGAAATGGAAATTATTTTGAGAACTACAAAATTTGAATTGCCAACAACAACAACAACAATGAAACCAATTAAGAGTAAGAAAGATCAAGATATAGCAACATTAACAAAAATTTTACCACCACTCAAATCGAAACCACAAGTATGTCTCATTTTTTTTCTTTTTATTTTCCATGAATTTTAACATATTAAAAATTAATCAGGGTCCTTTTCGTGCACCGGAAGACGTTCGTTATCAACGTTATCGTCCATTAAAACCATCATTACGATGTGAAACAGATTATTTTGCAACAGAAAAAATGCGTGAAGAATTGAAACTTCAAGAATGGGTTGATCGAATTCATGATGACACGTATATTTTCTAATATTAATTATATATCAATCAATTTTTTCCTTTCATTTATTTTTCTTTAGATTTAAATCAGGTCTTTGTCATGATAAATCTTATCCACGTATGCTAATTGGAGAAGAGCCTTATATAGAACCAACTAAACTTCAACAGGTAGCATTACGACAACCAAATAAAAAACAATGGGCTACTGACAAGGTTTTATTCTAAATAATTTCTGATAATTAGCATATATTTTCTTTTTTTTTTTTTGAAGGATTTCCGAACTTTAGTACATGGTGTACCAGAATTTGACAAATTCGAAATGACTTATGTAGAACCACATTATTATTATTCATCTTCATAATATTGTCTAGTTTTTTTTCTCCTTCTAAAAACAATTTCTGTTTTTTTTTTTTTAATATATATATTTTTCCGATTTCCTGATAAATATATAATCATTCAATGGCAATCGAATTCTAATCGGTCTGTTTTCAAAGCAAATATTCATATATGTTTCATAATCCATTTCGACGGTTTTTTTTACAATGGTTTTTCTACTGTTCAAGTATGATCGTGAAATAAAAAAAAAGATGTTGACTTTTTTTCATTTATACATCAAAACTGAGTGTAAAGATTATGAAGGTATCTCGCCAGTTAATCAATCTCTTTTGAGATGAGTCTTAAGCTCATTAGGTAGATCCTGTTGAAACGAAAGAAAACCTAAGAGAATTTCTATTGATAACTCTTTCTTCTTGAGTGATGATCATTTTAGTGATATTGTAGTCCTCTTTAGATCACCTTTGAAATTGACTTTTAAGTTTTGAATTTAAATCGCACTAGTAAAGTTTTCAATACAATTAGTTTCTTGTGAATGTATCAGATTTTCTAGTATCTCTTATTCTCAGATATTACTATTGACAATTCTGTTATTCAGAAAAACAAACTTTGATCGTATATTTATGTATATCTCAGAATAGAAATACTACAAAATCTGATACTTTCACAAGAAACTAGTCTCATTGAGAACTTCATTTATTCAAAGGTTAAGTTCAAAATTTGAACATGATTTGAGAATACTTGCGGTATTACTTTGGAAAACTTATTAAAATGACCATAATTCAAGAAGGGATATTCATAGACATCAATCGTTTCAAATTGTCTCTAGTCTCAACAGGATCTATCTAATTCTATAAAACTTCTCTCAAAAAGTAGTTTATTGTTTG